GATGGCTAATATAATTAAATAAAAGTCTAACAACTGCATACTAAAAAAAAATCAGATACACCAAGAAATTAGGGAGATTACTTGTATGGTTGCTACGACGCCACAGGGGCCACCCTCATGCTGCACTAGGCCCATAGATTTTTCTGGATCGGGGCTAAACCTATATGATTGTTTGACATGACATAAGAAAAAATAAAAGAAAAAAAAGGCAAATGAATGAAACTTTCCACAATATTCCCTGGTCAGTCAAAAGAATCAAATAGAAGTGGCTAGAACACCAGCATGTCAATGAAAATAGAAATTACAATATGCAACTAAACAGCAAACTAGTTTGGACAATTACTAAATAAAAAACTGCTTGCTTGCTTCACTAAACTAGTAATAGCAGGCTTCCTCAACAGAGGACTTGTAAGCCAGAACATGATGCATCATGTTGAAAATGCAATTTTTAAGTACATAAAATTACAAAATTGATTAATTGCCAGCCAAAGCAATGCCACGGTATAAATTATATAGGAAGGGTGTTACTGTTTTCAGTAGTTCTTTTGAAAAGCATCATCAATTGATCAAAAGGATATATTAAAAAACATCTACATGATGAATTTTGCTCTTAGATAGTATTTGGATTGGCAATCCAAATGCAGAAGATAGTGGACAGCCGATGTCCAACGACTGATAGTTATTGTTGTTCGTAATCCAAATATATTCATTTTGCCTATCCAAACTGCTAATCACTAACCTCAAACTTTTGTACCAAACACTCCCTTAGTTTACTAAGGTATTGACCACTTGAATTTATGTAACACTATCTTGTACTCCAAAAAATACCTACAAATTAGCTTTATTTTCATAACAAAAACTCAGTGGAACCAACGAGAGGTTGGATTAAGTGGTAAGCGATTTGTTTCAGCTTAAGCAAGATCTCGAGTTCGAGACTCTGTGTATGCAGTAGCCTTCATTGGGAGACTCACCTACCATTGTTAGGTGCGCGATGTGGGTCGGTCCAAATTAGTCGGGGCGAAGTCCCGAATACCGGACGGAAAATCAAAAAAAAAAAAAAAAAACAAAAACTCAGTGGAGAACAAACGGAAGAATTTATGTCATGTGGAATCTTTCATTGCCAAAGAAACTGAC